CTATTCACATTTGTGAGAGAACAAAAGAGGAAAGGCCACATCTGACCATGCAGTTTCAAGCAAAAAGTTCATGCAAGCAGTTTATCCAACTCAGCATTAAATTACTATTGTAGTGATCACAGTTTGGGGGTCCCACTTTGACCTTCTGAGCTCTGGGTAGGGGAAGGTCTATGTCCTGTGAGATTCCCCTGTTTAATTTTTTAATAGTCTCTGATGCAATAAACTGCCAAGAAAAACAATCTGAGCCTTCTTATATGAATAATTAAAAGCTCAGCTCAGCAGAGCAGTGGGGAATATATTCCAGGCAACAATTTTGCATTGATGTAGGAATAATAGGCCACTTTCATTAATAATTCTTCTGTAAAATGTTTGAATTTTGGGATCATTCCTCACTGAAGTTTTCAATTCTGTTGTTACTGTTCTCATATTCAAACAGGATAGGATTTCTGTCCATAGAGCTGGCCAAGGAAAAGAATAACAAGCTTAAAGAAATTCTACTTGGCATGAAAAATATACGTTAGCGAAGTCTCATCTTGTAAGCACACAATTTCCTTAATATCTTAATTAAAATAAAAGAATACATCAACTAGTTTTTTTTCTTTTTAACAGTGCCAGTAACAAGCACATTTCACCAAGAAAATTAAGAAAACATAGTAGTTCAACTGTAAAACATTATGGCTAAATCTGTTTGAAAGCTGACTTTAAGTGGACACTTGCCTTGTAGTTTTCCTCGGGCATCCTGATTCACAATCACAAACAGCTGCATGACTGGACGCAACTGAATCTGTAGTCTAAGACCAAAATATGTATGCACAACGAGGTAGTGGGAAGATGGCTGGAAAACTGAGAAGCTTGCTGGAAAACACAAGAGTCGTGTTTCAGATACTTTTTTCTAAATGTTTTTCACATGCTTGTTTGTTTTACCATCCAAGATTACAAAAGTTTCAGAAGCAGGAAAACATTAGGGTGCTGAGTCACCATATGCCATGAAAACTGCAACACAGAAGACCCAGAAACAGACCTCTTCTGTTCTGTTCAGATAAACACTGATCACTTAGAAACAGTACCAGATCCTGTTCCCTTCATAAGAAGGCTACTTAGGATGAGTGAACTCTACATTAGGACTAGGAATCAAACTCCGATCTTTTTCATGAGAGCTCATATTGCTAACCATGCTGCTTGCATGCTGCTTTATTTGAAGTTACATGAACAGGATAGAGATTTCTACAAAATCATTAGCTCTACCTATAAAATATGTAATAGTAAATTGGAGCTTCCTCTCCATGCTCAGGTTCCATTTGTTTCTATTACTTTCTCAAAATCTTCTTGCTTTCCCCATTTCTTCCACAGACTGGTCAGTTTACTTAAGGATTCAGTATTTCAGGCATCACAGTGAAGGCTATGCATCAAGAAAGGGACACTAGTGCCAACAACCAAAGGACCACCTCACACAATTCTTCTGCAGGCAGAAGAATTGCTGTCAGGGTGAGCCAACGTTCCCCAACAGCAGCAAAAAGATATTCCAGGCATATTCCTTTTGTCCAGACCAGAACATGCTAACACAAAATATCAGGAGGAGCTAATGGTCAATTTATGCCCTTCAACCAGCAGAGGGACAGAGGGCAAGGTTGTGACTATTTATCCCCCCTTCTTCCATAGATCATTGCAAGAATGGATATGTTATATTATATCAACCTGAGGCATCAGTCAATTTTCAATCTTAAAAAGAATTTTAATTTAAATAAGAGAAGCACCAAACTGACCCCTCATATTTCTAAGACAGGGAGAAAGCTGAATTTAGTGCATGTGCTGAAGCTACATCAAAAGAACAAAACAAAGAGCTCCTTTTACAACTAACCATTTATTTTTAGCATAGAATTTTCCAATCGTGTATTTCCAAGCAAAGGTTTCTTCATGTTATTGCTGCAAACAAGTGTCAAAGATGGTAATCACCCATGTTCTTCCCATCTTGCTAAACGGGAGAGATGTGCCAGTGTAGACAAGGGCATGGCAATGTGGAAAAGTTTGAGAAGCATGGCCTCAAACAAATGGTAGCTATATTGTGCTTGTGGCTACTGATTCCCAAGAACTGAATTTGGTGGATGTTAAGCAAACTATATATAGGCACTATATAATCAAGCCATAATGGAAAAATCAATAGACCAATCCTATAAAAACAACACCAGAAACTGGGGTTCATGGTACTCTTGTGGTGAGTCATATGATAAGAAGAGGCTATATATTAAATTATACTGCTTATTCCGTGAAGTACTTTACTCCAGATCCTTTCCACCAAATATTTAAAAACTGCTTCCCCCTGTATGTTTGTCCTCCCTGCAAATGAACTGTTTTTGCCAAAGGTGGCAGTAACCAAGAAGCAGTGCTGCTTATTGACTGATGACTCTGCATCTTAATTACGTATAACTGGCAGGAGTAAACATTTACAGATCCTTTGAGTGATTGTTCCCAGGCCCTCCAGCTGTCCTCTGTTTACTGATCTCCTTCAACAACCCTTACAGATCCTGGTCATTGAAAAAATTTCTTAATTTGTAAAAGGCTGGAGGTGACTCCTTCTAGACACCAATGGCACTGATCTTTGCATCAGCCACGGGGATAGTGTAAAAAGTAGCCACCAGATGCCGCAAACCAAAGTTGATGACTCCAGCTACCTCTCCGCCTAAACCAGCTCAAGGACAGGGACAGGTTGTCTAAAGTCAGTCCACAAGCCAGAAAAAAGGGGGAAACAGGAAGCAGGAAGAAGAAAAGGATCCTCCTACTAGAACTTATATGTTATATGTAAACCAACCCCCTCTCTCCTTCCCACTTCTCTCTCCTCCCTCAATGAGAGCAAAAATCACCCTTGAGTTCACTATGACATTGCTGGCTCCATATCAGTGAAAGCCTTGTCCATCTATATGGCCTCCACCACTGGAGTATTATCAGCCCCCTTGTTTTTAAAGGTGGGAGGCTGAAATAGGAGGACGCGAAGCAGCAGACGAAGCAGCTTACACAGAATCATTGCGGGGGAGGGGCTGTGCAGATCTGAGAAATTAAACAAGGCTTACCGGGTATCTGTCTTAAACCTATGAGCATCCTTCCCTCCTTACTTACTTTTCCCCACAAATAGCTGTAGTCTAGTGATTAGGCCACAATATTTTTCCAGTACCCCAGAAATGATGCCTCAAAGGCCTCGTTGGACAGTGAAGTTCTTTCCCTGGTATGCTGGATGAGCCAGGAGAGATGACCCCACTCCTTACCTGTCACATGGGGCAAGTGCATCACCACGTCATTCAGTAACACTGTGCCATCTGCTTTGAAAACTGCAATCTGTAGAAAAGCAAAGAGCAAAAAAGTTAAGTTACTAGGCTTTGTGGACTCAGAATGGGAAACACGCCTTGAAAATTAACATGAAAACTGGAGAGGCACACAAGGAAATCTCTATGTTGTGATGAGAATATAGGATATATGAAAGGAGGAATCTGACTGATTAAGAAACATTCTGCCTGTGCTGACATCCACTAAGCCTACAAAGATTTGGGCTTGTTAGTCAATGTTGATTTTATAGTAGTCTAAGGCAGTTTATAATAGCAATAAAACACCTCAAGGATTTTACTTATTTTGGTAACCCAGACTTGCCAGCTGGCATTTAGGAAAAGTACCATGTTGATTTCTCCTATACATGTTGTATAATTGCTTACAAAATCAAGTAGTACTGTAAACTGGACAGGAATTTCACAGAATAATTGCCCTGATAACATTATAGCATGAACTTTTGGTAACACAAACTGTATTTAAAAACAATATAAAGACCAGGAATACCATATATAGCAAGAACAGAGGCAAAAAGTCTTAGAGGTGTAGGTACTCTCAAGATGGACATATTAGAGATGCATAAAAAAGTCTCAGTGGAAAAATAGGTTATATGGGGAAGAAATTTCCATGAGAATGAAAACCTAGTGAAGATTCCCAGTTTAGTCTCTCATCATTAGTAATAAGTGAAATTCTAAAAGTGCAGAAGTTTGACCTGGATTAAACTTTCTAGTCACATGTCTCGTAGGTCAACGAATCCTTATGTACCCAAACTTAAATACCAATAAAATATGGTATCTAGGACTTTCTTGTTCCTAATCCAATGGGAAATGCCATGAAGGCAGCCATGCAATGTTTTCAGCACTAGGCAGAACCAAAAAGAGATGAAAGAAAATCAGTCAGTTTTTTTAATGGTTTATCCTAGGTTTTATTTGAGTTTTGAACAAAGGGAAAGCCTTGAATTGGTTTCTTCCTTTTTCTTTTCCTATTTTTTCCCTGAGCAGGATCACCCATCCACAGACAGGATCACCAGAGAGAAATTACCAAAAAAAGAAAGAAAGAAAGAAATTAGAAAAAAGATAGTAAAAAACACGTTAAGATTCCATCTGCCCACCAGACCCCACAAAGTGCTTACATCTTTTTTGTGGTCCATCAACAGCACAACAGTCTTCAAACACGTCTGCTTGTCTTCGAAACTACAGGGACCCAGCTCAGCCAAGAGGGTATGGGAGTCATTGACACTGTTCTGCAATCACAAGGGCACAGACATTATTTGTATGGTCAAGTATCTCTTATCACAAACTGATTTCAAACCAAGAAGACAAACAAGTGTATTTGCCCTTAGTATGTATTAGTAGGTGCATTCATAAGAATATAAGAGCATAAGAAATGCCATACTGGGTGAGACCAGTAGTTCATCTACCCCAGTATCCTGTCTCTGATAAAGGGCAAATGTTATAGAGGGAGTGCTGGAGAGTCCTGACACCCCAAACAGCCTAGTGCTGGGTGTGTAACTGCATTCCTCCCCCAGACAGACTGATCCCACAAGTAGTTCAGCCTGAATCACAGTGATTAGCATGTGAGGAAAGGTGGGTTGTGAGGGACAGTCTCAAGTGAGTGAGCTGAGATGCATACAATGTGATAACACCAAGTGATGACCCCAGGTAAAAACAATTATCACAGGTCATGAATCAGAGCTTCCCTGCTCCCTACTCAGTTGGCCAAGAGATAGTTATCTCACAGAAATGGGCAGAAATTTGAACCCAAGCTGTACAAAACTCTACTATGCAATGGCATAGGTTTGGAAGCCTGGAAATTACCTCAACTCTGAGGACAGATTCTGAAGGTCCTGAGACCTCACCACCCCATAGTTAGTAAATCTATATATTCTCTGCTGTATGTAGCTGCTATTGGTAATTTTGCCTGAGTGTTAAATCAGCGAATGGTTTTAAATAACTTGTTTTGGCTTATCTTGTACTACTCTGGGTAAAATAAAAGCCCTCATAGTCATTCTGGGTATAACAGGAGACAACTGAATTGGACATCTCTAGAGTGATCTAACCCCTATTCAGTAATCTCCCTGGCATGCATCATTATTGGTTTAGAGATGCCAAAGAAACATCCCCAACCATTCTCTTCAATAACCATTAATAAGTCTATCATCCATGAATTTATCTAATCCCTTTTTGAACCTGGCTATACTATCTGCCTCTACCACCCCTGTGGCAATAAATCCCACAAGTTAACTGTGTGTTGCATAAAAAGTATTTTCTTTTGTTAGTTTTAAGCCTGCCTCCTACTAATTCCAGTGGATGCCCCCTAATTTTAGTATTCTGGCTGGTGTTGAAGTGCAGTTTCCTGTTCATGTGATCCACATCCTTTTCTAAACTTACCACATCCTTTTTGAGATGTGGGGACCAGAACTTCACACCAAGGGCACAGAGTGGGCACACCATGGATTTGTATAATGACATGACAATGGTCTCCATTTTGTTTTCAAAACAGAGAACCTAAGTTTAGCTCTGGAAACACATATAGGTTTGCTCTGTGGAAACTACATAGCCTTAAGGGGTATTGGTGCACGGAGCAGGAGTTAGTTGGCAGGATGTAGTTCAAATCAGCACACCCAGAGGTGATCTAGACATGTCTTACATTACCCAGACACTATTACAGGTTTCTGGTAGAAGGCTTCAGACCCTCAATGCAGATCTCTTTAGCAGAACTAAAACCTCAAGCTGTAGGTTCAGTTTTCCATTTGAAACATGCAGGAAATGTGCTCCTCGGGACTCTTATGAAACAAACTCCTAAATAGTCTACAGTGTACCTGTTTCATAGCTATTGCAGGGCCACAAACTGTTAAGTCAGTCACAAAAAATGATGGGTGATCACAGACCCTCACTTTCATTGGGGTAAGCACTGGGATATCACATCTCACTTTAAATTCTCAAGCATGGATTCTGCAGTGTCCTCCTCCTCTATCTCAACAAGTGTAATGAAACAGTGATCTATGCCACAAAATCAGAGTGAATACACATTTGTAATTACTGTATTCTCAAAAAGGTGTCCACTATGTGATACCTTGGTTAGCACATAATAGCACTCTCCATGGAAGGTGTATTTCTTCGCATCAAAGGTGGTAAAGTGAGAACCTCCTTCCAACATGCATGTCCCTGGACAGGGTAGAGTATGGCATATCCACCTGCCTGAATCACAGGTGCTGTAGACACAAATAAGGAGTCAAAATATGTATACAGTAACTCAGGAACTCAAAGCACTGAAAATTATGTTAAACAGGCACCATTAACATGGGACACCATGTCCCCAGGGGTTTTGAAGCTGTTACATTGGCCATTGTTTTAAAATGTCTTTTCCACATATTACAGTCCCAGGAGGCCATAAAATTGGTTCACTGTTGTATCAGGTCACTGTAACACAAGCATAATGACATTGTGACTGTTTTCAGCCTGACAGCCAGAAATTAGCTGCCAACTCAGAGACAAGCCCATGCACGGTCATTCTAAGAAAGGTAGGCACTGCACTGGAACACTTACCATTCTTCACATTCATTGGCAAACTTTTGCCCGGGTGAATATAGTTGTCCATTTAGTTTGCAGGAACATTTGTTAACAGCCACACAACCTCTCTCAGTCAGGTCATCATAAACAGTTCCTATAAAATCAACCAGCACACTCTCATTATTCACATAAAAAAATTTCAAATACCAGCACCTACCAATAGAAGAGAAACTCATAGGGCTGGACCTCACCCAAAGCTAAAGAATGAGGTTCACAAAGAAATGAATGAGATTTAGCAGCACAGTTTTCATTAATTTTATTAGAGGACATGGCTAAATTCCCAGTACAGCTTTGAAAACCTCAGCCTACAAATGTATATATGTATAAGTTACTACACTGCTCTTGTGGAGATAATATTATAAAGATATTTTCCCAAGGTTGGCAGTAAGATCTCAGAATTTTGTTTATGGGCTCACTGCAAAATATGATTAATATCTCCATCCAGATAAAATACATGTAAGAATACTCAATGCGTCATCCACAAGGACTGAATCCAGAGGCAGTAAATCTAAGAAAGCATAACTCTTTACTACTTCAGTAACTGAACAGATTCATTATTTCAGAGGCAGTAGTAGGCTCATAAAACAATATATGTGGCTGGCCTTATGATAGAAGAGGAGCAAAGAGACCAAATGGGTTAATGTGGGTTAATAACAAATAAATTGTAGAAATACTACGCCTAATTAATTCAGTGGCTAAATTCAGGGTGTGCCTGAACTGTCTGCATGGCAAGCAGCACCACAGGTCCATGGCTCACTCCAGCGAAGTCTGTAGGCACACAGCCCCCTGCTAGTGCGGCCAGCAAAGTGTTTGGTCCTCACCTACTTAGAAGTTGGATAGACCTGATATAAATGATACAGCCCTTTGAGACACACTGGGTTTGTCTACATGAGACATTTACTGAGGAGTTGTCTAATTAGCTCTACAGTAAATGTCTAGGTGTCTACATGTGCAGGCCTAATAAGCTGCAGGAAACTAATACTCTCAACAGCAGGGTAATACTTGTAGGGTAGTACGTGTAGACGCTGACGCAGGTGGCTGGCGCACAAGGGTACATCAGTGCGGGGGCTGCCTCCTGGCTAGCCCTGCACTGAAGCATCCTCATGTGCCAGCCAGCCCTTCTGCAGCAGGTTGAGCCAGGCAGGAGTAGCCCCAGGCTGGCAGGCTGACCCCTGGGGCCCCCTGCCAGCCAGGGCTCTGCCCTGGCTTAATGTGCTGCAATCCTGGGTGCACATTCAAACAGCCTATCCAGAAGCAATAAACTCCAGTACCATAAGCACTGGAGTTTATTGCTGTAGCTTATTTGCACATGTTGGTGTGCCTACTCTGGAGTATACAAATAGACTTGAAATGAGATCTGCAACCTAACAAAGGGCAGAAACACACCTACCTTCTGGGCAGAAACAGCCATCCATGTAGTGTTCTTCACAAAGGTTGCTGATTTCCAGGTGTGAACAAGTATCAATGCATGGGGAGCTGCTTTCCTGGTAAACCATGTTTCCAGGGCATGACTTAGCTAAAAATAACAAAAAGAGAAGCAAAACATTATTAAAGAAAAAACTTTGGATTCCACAGAAATCAAAGCACAAATACTGGGCTCAAGAGGACTCAGTTTGGTTTTGTGTTTCATGCATATATACTTCTGAACTCCTTTTTACTTCTTTACATTTTTATCTGACTTCTTGAACAGAAGATGTTGATTTCAATGATGGTCCCTTTTTAACTCATGTAAAAAATTCAGACCATAGGGCTTTTAGCTGGAACATAAATGTCTAATTGTTGAACGAAAGAGAGAGGAGGGGAAAGGTAGGAAATGAACAATATATAAAATGGAGAAGCAGTTTTAAATATTTTACAGGGTTTCATCCATAAGGAGCTAGTTGCTCAATAAATTCTGTGAAATGGCTTACGACATAATTTTTCTGTCCTCCAGTTCCCTGGCCGGCCTCCAGCATGAGAGCACTGGCGAGAGTATTCTGAGATGGTGCTGCAGAGGCAGAAAGCATCCTCAGCTTCCTGGCAGGCACACTTGTCCTGCATACATGCCATAACATACATTTCCAGATTCAGGCGGGACTGGCAGTCACTGAATGCTTGGGAAGTCAGTAACCGCGTGCACTCATCACGCTGAGGAAAAGAAAAAAAGAAGGGTTTAACAGGCACTAAAGTTTCTAGAAAAGTTCCTTCTTACTACAAGAATCCTTAGTTCCTGGGCTTGTCTAAGGGCAGTGAAAGAGGGACAGAGCTGAGTCACGGGTGATCTCTGGATAATTCCCTCTCAGAAACATGCATGTGAATGAAGGCCTTTTACCCATTTGAAAGGGTCATATGTTGACTAGTAAAATGGAGTGAGATAAGCTCAAAAGAGAATGGACAGGCATTTGTCTGGGATATTGTAGTAACAGTGTTTCCTGTAACTGAGCATGTTGCTGGACTGAATGACCCTTGACTTTCCTTCCAAGACTATGATTCTATGATTCAACACTTTGTTATGGCTTTTTACAGGTCATAATAATAATAATAATAATAATAATAATAATAATAATAATTGCTTATCCTGGTGGGTTGTGAGCTTCTATATCCAGAAGCTGCCTAAAATTAACTAAATTAGCTTTGGGGTTAGTTGAGAACATAATAGTGCCTGCCTCTGAAAATGTCAAGTCATCACATGTCTGTACATAATGTTGTTGCCAAGAATGTCTTCAGATTCCAATTGTGTAAAATTCACCCTTGTGATTACTTACATGCTGATGGCAGGTTGTGACTTCCTGAGTTTCATCTGGGTCTTCACATATGGAGTTGGGTGTGTTAATCTTGTGTTCATTTCCATATGTGATTGGATTGTAGACGATGCCTGCAATAAGCATTGCAAATATAGCAAAATGTATATTTGACTCCTGACACTAGCAATTTAACAAAGTGGTTATTATACTGTAAACTGTATCTTCCACATGAGTCATATTCTGAATACTTGAATACTACTAAGAAAACTCATTATTTCAGTAGTGAGCATAAAAATCCACACTAGTGTTTACATGAGTGAGTACATCCAACTGGAAAAGAGTACTCCATTAATATTTTAACTGTGTGGCAATAACAAGAAAATTTCAGAATGATTTTTTAAGGTCCCATACTGTAAATTCTAGATTTGCCAATATGCAATGCTTCCACATATAGAATCTATAAGCTCACTTTCTGTGGCAACTACCTGTATTGTCATACCACTTACCTCCAGAGATAAACTCATTGTATATCTGCTGTCCATTGTAATCCCCGCAGAGACCACAAGTATGGTTATTAAACTTGGGGTCCAGCTCCAGCTAGATAGGAAAACCAAAAAACCAAAAATCAAATTACCTATAGCACTAAACATTCCTTTCTCTACTTTTCTTGACAGAGCAAAAACTTGTGTTCATGCTGTTCCCTGAACTCCATTCACATCATGAAGGAAGGACCTTCCTGCTAAACAATAAGCTACCTCCACATTTCCTGTTGGAAGAGTCTATTTAACATAGCAGCTCTGTTCAATCTATGCTACAGTGTTAAACCTAGACAATAGTTAAAAAAAGAAAGAAAAGAAAAATAATTTCATTATCATACATACCATCAGTGCATCTTCACGGTTCCACATCAGAACCAGGCCTGCTCTTGCATAGATTTTGGTGTAGACATCACTGGTCTCAATCAGCATACCAGACATGTAGTGTGGTGTCTTTACTCTGAAGAGAAGGATACCAGAGATTTTGCATTAAACCTCAATACAAACAATAGAAAGGATTGGATTGAATATCTGAGCTGTTACGTCAGAGATATCTGGATGCTTGGAGAAACTGGCCTTTATAGACAATCCCTTTACTAGCCACCATTTCAATATACCCCTTACAAATGTCCTCCACCATACTTGACTGAACCCTTTCAGATGGGTTATAAATCACCTTCCTCTCTGATATCCATGAGGCAACTAATATTTTCAGAAGTTGCTCTAACCATTTTCTACTTTAGCTAGCCATGGAAATCCAACTCCCATTCTCATTTTAACAGCATCTCCGAGGACCTCTCTACCTGCTTGATCATTACACATGCAAAATTTGACAACAATTCAGGCATATGCAACATTTCAGCCTACGAAAACTGATGCCTTTCTGAACAAGCTGGTCTTTAAGTTGGCACCTTGCCCTGCCTTCTCACTTCAGACAAAGGTGGCTAACACTCCCTGTCTTGAGAAAGGAAAGAAGGTAAAATTACATGTACCATCAGTCAGAGTAATTACATAAATTAACTGGGACAGAGAGAATATTCACTGCTCACCATATTCAATTTTTTAATGATAGAAAAAGGATAATTTACAGGGATACCAGAAGACATTGGTATGATGCAAATCCATCAAGCAGAGGCCTGAGCAAAGAGGCTGTTAGATAATAAGATAATTTGCTACACATATACTTCATCACTGAATATCTGCCTTATGGTGTACTGCATATACAAGCCATAATACAGATCTTAGGTCAGTGATAAAGAGATTCTAGCAAACAGCTTGTCACTATAAAGACTCAAGAGGTTGATATTTGATCAAACAAAAAGTACTTTACATTGGAATCAGCCAAAAGAGCCATTTCTTTCTCCATACATTTCTCAGAAGAAATATTATTGCCTATGCTCACATGCATAGATGTATCATCTTTTACAATCTGCCCTGTCTTGTGACAAGGAGAAATGTATATCTTAATTTCTTGTCACTAAGTTTTTTTTGCCAGCTAATTAGGACACCTTTTAAACACCCAAGCTTTTAAACTTCTAGCTAACGCTTGGGAACTCACAAATGCTCATTATTACCACTCACTTGCAGGTCATAACATACACAGTGAAGGATGAACTCCTCTTCTCCCTCACTCCCCCCTCCTTCCCATTTTCAGAAGAGAATGGTTAAAGCACTAGATATGTATATTAGTGAACTAAGTCTTTTGAGGGAGAGCTTTTCTTAATGCTATATCTGAAGTAGGAATCAGATCACAGGGATGTATAATAATTATGAGTCAGGACCTACTCAATTTGTGATTTTGTGGATTTTG